CGGTGCAGTGCAGCACAACACAGTGCAGTGCAATGCAACCCGGTGCAGCGCAGTGCAGTGCAACCCGGTGCAATGCAGCACAACACAGTGCAGTGCAATGCAACCCGSTGCAGCRCAGTTCCCCACGGTGCAGCCCGCTCCGTGCACATTAGGGCTGGCTGTGCACGAGGCTCTGCTCTAGTTTCCGCCCCCATCTCGAGCATCCCGCTGCATGGGCGGCTCTGCCAGACAAATCCCCGCTCGTTTAACCCCACCGGGTGCAGGGGGGAGCCGAGGGCCCGGGGGCTGCATCCCCCCTCCCTGTCTCTCATCCCCTCCCTCCCCCTCTCCGCTTTGTGGTTTAATTAGTCTTTCCAAGTGGCATAATCCCCCGGGGAATCTGCTTGCAACACGCACGCCGAGGAGAGCCACTAACGATGCTTCTTAATTAGGCAGCCCCCSCTCCCGCCCGCTGCGCCGATGCCCTCCGGAGGCGGGCCGGGAAAAGTCCGGGTGCAGGGAGCATCCTGGCACATCCCGCAACCTCACCTGGCGCCCCTCGCTCCTCCAGACGCCGTTGACCGTCTTGGTGGGGGCGATGGTGACGACGGGCGGCGTGCTGGGCACGCTGTGCCCCGCCGGCGGCACCAGGATGGGGCCCATGGGGCCGCGCTTGGGCGTGCTGGCCGGCGAGCTGTGGTTGGTGGCCGGCGACGACACCGGCGACGACTCGCTGCTTATGGAGGAGCCTGCGGAGCGGAGCRCAGGGAAGAGTCGGGATGGGAGCACGGAGAGCCGAGCGGTGCCGCGGGCAGGGAAACGCAGCGGGTTTGGATCAAAGCTGGAGGTGCGACTCTGCAGCGCCCGGGCACGGCTTGGGCTCGGCTGGCATTCACACTGCACCCACACAGGGGACGCCCGCAAACGTGTGGGAATAAAACCTCTCCCAAGGGGAATTAAAGCACGCAACGCACGGAAGAAGGAAAGCCGGAGCGGGAATGCCAACCTCAGTGCAGCGGGACACGCTGAGCCCGTGCCCTGCCCCGGCGCCCATCGCCAAAGCGCCGAGGCGCCCGCTCCGTCCTTCCCGCACGGAGCCGGCGACAATTAGCAGCCTTAATCCCCTCCGCGCCGGCCGCAATCAATAGGGCCGCAGCGAGCCGGGCAATTAAGGGAGCGGGCGGCCGGCGGCGCGGGAGGGCGGCCGATCGCGCTAATGAAGCGGCGCGATCCGGCCGGGAGTTAGTCAATGAGACTAATCTGGATTGGAGATGACAAGAGGCGCGGGGTGACGGTGTCACCTTTGTTTCCTGACCTCCCGCTCCCCGCGCGGCGAGAGCAGATTAGCAGCCGGGGCTGACAGGCAAATGTAATTAACAGCTGAGACCCCGCAGGAGGAGGCGGGGGAAGAAAGGAAGGCGGAAAAAAAAAAAAAAAAAAAAAGGAAAAAAAAAAAAAACATGGAAAAACATCCCTTGTACTCTGAGCTGGCTGGGGCGGGAGGTGGGATGTTTGGTCCCAATCAGGCTCCAGGTGCTTCCCAGGGATGTGCTGGTGTATAGTATCCCGTGGGGCACGTCCTGGCGTCACCGTTGGAGCCATCAATCCCGGCATGATCCTGCCCCCGGAGCTGCAGCTCCGGTGGCGGCGGCGGATGCTCCGGCTGGGATCAGGCCAGGAGCATCCCGCTAATTGCCCATTAAAGAGCAGGAGCGGGAGGCAGGGCCGAGCTCGGCCGCCCCAGCGCCACACGCCATTCCCAGGAGCCCTGGGAAGAGCGGTAGCTCCGCGGAGCTCGTCGCAGGGAGCAGGGCCCGGGAATGGCAAGGGGGGCAGGACGGCGCCTCCGTCTCGCCAGACGTTCCCCAGGGTCCGGCACCGCGCTCGGATCCCTCCGGCTGAGCAGAATTTCTAAACTGCCCCCTGGAGACACAGAGTCCAGGAAAGACATTAGGGAAACGGTGGCGGGGAGAAAAACCCTGCGCCAGTCCCGGCACCTCAGGGGGCTTTGGGGACACTGGGGAGCACTGCGGCGGCTCAGGCATCTCAGGGAGAGTTGGGGGGACACTGGGGTGCAATGCAGCAGCTCAGACACCTCAAGGGGGTTTCAGGGGACAYTGGGGTGCAATGCAGCAGCTCAGACACCTCAAGGGGTTTTTGGGGACATCAGGATGCATTGCAGCAGTTCGGGCACATCGGGGGGATGTGGGGACACCGGGGAGCATTGCAGTAGCCCAGGTACCTCAGGGGGGTTTTGGGGACACCAAGGTGCATTGCCGCAGCTCATGCAYCTCGAGAGGGCTTGGGGACATTGGGGTGCATTGCAACAGCTTGGGCACCTCAGGGGGGTTTTGGGGGCATCGAGGTTCAATGCAGCAGCTCAGACATCTCAAGGGGGTTTTGGGGTGCACCGCAGCACCCTAGGCACCTCAGCGGGGTTTGGACACACCAGGGAGCACTGCAGCAGCTCAGACATCTCAAGGGGATTTGGGGACATTAGGGTGCATTGCAACAGCTTGGGCACCTCAGGGGGGTTTTGGGGGCATCGAGGTTCAATGCAGCAGCTCAGACATCTCAAGGGGGTTTTGGGGTGCACCGCAGCACCCTAGGCACCTCAGCGGGGTTTGGACACACCAGGGAGCACTGCAGCAGCTTGGGCACCTCAGGGGGGTTTTGGGGGCATCGAGGTTCAATGCAGCAGCTCAGACATCTCAAGGGGGTTTGGGAACACTGGGGTGCATTGCAGCAGCTCAGATATCTCAAGGGGGTTTTGGGGTGCACCGCAGCACCCCAGGCACCTCAGCGGGGTTTGGACACACCAGGGAGCACTGCAGCAGCTCAGACATCTCAAGGAGGGTTTCGGGACACCAGGGAGCATTGCAGCAGCCTGGGCACCTCAGGGGAATTTGGGCACACCGGGGAGCACTGCAGCACCTCCAGCGCAGCCGGCCGCGCCGGCTCCGCTCCCTCTGCACCGTGGCACGGCCGCGGGCGGGCGCGTCGGGGCCGGGCATCCCGCCTTACCTCGCGGCTCCTCGGCTTGCTTGGCGAGCTTGCGCAGCGCGGCGGCGAAGCTGGACGACGGCGCCGCCTGCACGGCCAGGGCGCTGCCGCCGGCGGGGCTGCCATTGGGGACGAGGGAGCCGTTGAGCGGGGACGGGGTGAGGGGGCTCACGGTGGCCGTGGTGCGCGTGGCGGTGGACAGCATTCCTAGGGAAGGCGACTTGGACTCATGGCTCATGCCTGCGAACGGGGAGAAGGGCACGCGTGAGCGGGGCGCCCGGCTCCGGGTTTTGGTGGGGGGGGGACACGGAGGGGCCGTCCTCGCTGCCGCATCCCCCCCCATGCCCTCCAGGGACCCCCCCAGCTGCACCCGCAGCTCCTGCAAGARCAGCCACGTGGAGGGGCACAAGGTCCCCCCCCAAGCCCCCCTGGCAGCCGGCCTCGGCGCCCGCCCGCATGCAAGGCCCGCAGCCGGAAATCCACAGGGAAGCAGGGAAAACCAGCAGGAATTTGGCCGCGCGCCTACTTACCCCCCCGCCCCGGAAAGCACCCGGAGCTCGCCCGGAGCTGGCAAAGGCGCCAGAGCAAGCAGCAGGCTGCAACCCCCCCGGCGCCCTGCACCGAGCCCTGCCCGGGAGCCGGGACCCCGGGCGCTCACGGAGGCGCCGGGGAGCGAGCGCGCCGGGAAGCGCCGTCCTCCCCGCCGGCAGCTCCGCTAACAAAGCGGCGGCGCCCGGCGCGCTGCTCGGCGCCGGAAAGCGAGCGGACACCCCCGGGCGGGCAGCTGCCGCCGGCGTCACATGGCCCGGCTGAGCCGCGGGAGCCGGAGCGGGGCCGGATAACGGGATGGGGGGGCGTTGAGGGCCCCCCTGTGCAGCCCCGGGGGGCAGCGGGCAGGCTCTGTGCTGGGGGGCCCCGCGGTGCTGCTAGGGCCCCCCTGGGCACTACAATACTGCCAGGCCCTGGATCGTCACATCCGTGTCCCCCAGTGCCACCACTGGGCCCCTACGTGCCCACTGCGGCACCCCCAGGTTGTCGCTGTTGCAGCCCTGAGGAGCCCTGATGGCAGCGGTAGAGCTTTCCCGTTGCACCCCAAGTCCTCCCTGTGGCACCCCAACATCCCCCCTGCTGCATGTCCCCATCTGCAGTACTGCACCCCAAACTCCAACCATTGCACCCCAAATCCCCCCACTGCACCCTAAATCCCACCACTGCACCCTTAGGCTCCCCTTACTGCCTCACCCCAAAACCCCACTATTGCACCCCCAAATCCCCCTTGCTGCACCCCCATTCCCATCCCTGCACCCACTGCAGCCYGGGGCCACCCAATGCGGCTCCGTCTCCCTGGGGGGGGATGCAGGCGCCCGAGCCCCCCCGCGCGCTCCAGGGCTCTCCACCTCCTCAAACAGCAACCGCTGATGTCAGGGCGCTTAAAATAGCCTTCCAAATGAGCAGCTTCATTAGCACCGGGCTAAAATTAGCGCTTCCCGGCGCGGGGAAGCGAGCAGGGGCACCCATGGGTGGGGGCGACAAGCTGTGTGGGGGGCGCCCCATGTCCCCACCTCCCAAAGCGGCCTCGGGGGCCACTTGCCATCCATTGCCCCCCTGTCCGCGGCCCCTCCGCCCTCGTTAGCGCGGCGCTCATTAACTCCCACCACGGCCCGCACCGCTGCTCACCGAAAGCSCCGCGCCGCCCGCCCCGGACGCCTGGGCCCCGAGCAGGAGGCAGCGGCCGGCGGCGCCGCGCGCTCGCCCGGGACCACGCGGCGCTCAGGAGCGCGCTTCCCGCGGGCTCCGTAATTACGGCTCCTTTTCATCCCCCGCCGGCTCCGTGCAGGCGCGCGGCCCGRCCCGGCCGCCTCCGCGCGCGCTAATTACAAGCCCGCGGCTCRGGCGCCGCCACCTCGGCTCCCTCTCGGAAAGCCCTCGTTACGGGAAGCAGCAGCGATGGAGCAAGCGCGAGCGGGAGGCTCCCTCCGCGCTGCACGCTTGCAACCCCATTTGCACGCTTGCAAGCGTGCACACGTGCATGCAWGCACTGCTGCGCGCTTGCACAGGCCCTTGCACGCTTGCATCCGCATCCCACCCCGGCGGGGAGCACAGGAGCAGCCCAGGCGGCACCGGCGAGCGCGCACCCCGCGGCGCAGCATGTGACGCTCGGCTGATCGCCGTGGCCCCAAAGCCCTCATAATAAATTCATTATGTCGGGCTCGTTCCGCGCTCGCTGGCGCRGCAGCGGCTGCCCCGCGGCCGGAGGGACGGGTGCACGGTGTCGCTGTGCGCGGTGGCACCTCCTGCCACCCTCCTCTGTGTCACCTCCTGCCACCCTCCTGGTCGGGACGCTCCAAGCCAGGCGCCTGTGCCGCCCCAACCGGTTCCACAACCCCCTGCCTGGCCACGGGATCCTCTCCCACGGCCGGAGCCCTTCCCGGGTGCCGTGGCTCCGTGCCCGGCAGGGCTGCCCATCCATGGCCCCGCTCCCCCTCGGCACGTGCCCGGGCACGGCGGCGCAGGGAGCGCCTGGCATTCCCGGTGCCGGCGCGGGAGCGCGCTGGGCSCGCGCCAGCCCCGCTCCATCTGCTGCTGCCGGCGCCGGCGGCGCTTTGGCAGCCGCGGCCTCCTCCGGCAGCGGGGGCAGATCCCGCCTGTCTGCGCGCCGGGGTCGGCGGCAGCGCCAGCGAGCGCCGCGGGGCACGGGGGGCACGGCGGCCTCCTAAGCCTCCCGGCAATCCCCATTCCCTGCAGGCCGCCGGGAARGCTGGAGCACGGCCCGCTGCAGGGCAGCGCACGTGCCAGCAGCCACTAGAAGGCAGCAGCCTCCTGGCACTGCAGGGAGGAGGAGGAGGAGGAGGAAGAGGAGGAGGAGAAGAGGCAGCCACAGGACCCGGTCACCTCGCTCTGCCCCRGGGCCGCGGCACGGAGCCAGGGTGCAGGGCGCTCTGCACGGGTGCTGCTGCATGCACATTGCCATGCACGGGCACCAAGCGCGCACCCATGCGCGCATGAACCACTGTGCACGGTGCCAGGCACGCACAGATGGCCATGCATGGGCCCAGTTGCACACAGGGTGCTGTGCACAGATCCAGTTATACACTGGGTGCTGGGCAAGGACCCACTGGTACACAGGGTGCATCGCAAGGACATCCTTGCACACAGGGTGCTGTGCATGGACCCAGTTACCTGCACATCCCTGCACACAGACCCCGCTGCATGTGGGGCACCACACCTGCACCCAGTCACACACACATCATGTGCACCCATTGCACAGTGCACCCAAGGGATCCTCACTGCACTCATGGGACCCCCTATAGGACCCCATACAGGACTGCCATAGCCCCCCAGCTCCCATAGCACCTCCATAGGAGGCTCCCCAGCACCCATAGGAATGCCCAGAATCCACGATAGGATCCTTATAAGCCCCCTCAGCACCCACAGGACCCCACAGGATCCCCTATAGGGCCCCCCAGCACCCATAGGACTCCCTATAGGATCCCTATAGGACCTCTATAGGCCCTCTCAGCACCTATAGGACCCCCTATACCCTCCTCCAGCACTGAGTGGGTCGCTGGGTGCTTCCACAGCACCTGGCTGCAAACACCACGGTGACCACAACACCCATTGGGAGGGACCCCACACTGGGTGCCCTCGGAGCGGGCCGGGACCAGCAGAGCCGGGGCAGGAGCGAGGCCGCCCGCTGCAAAACGCCTCCGCGCAGCCGAACCCGAGCGGCTCCGCGGAGCTCCGGGGGCTCCAGCAGCGCAAGGAACCACTTATCACCCACCAGGAGCGGGCAGCAGCCCCGGCAAAGGCGGCAAAAAAGSCCCGGGCGAAGGGGTTAAGGCGGCGGCAGCACCCGCGGGCTTTTGTGCCGCCTCTTCACCCCGGCTCCGGGGCTTCCTGCCCTTTGAGCGGCGCAGCTGCCCGCGCCGGCGGCGGCAGCTGCTCCGCGGGCGCTTCCCATGCAAATGCGGCCGCTTTGTGCGGCGTTGGGCGCGGGGCCGCGCGTGCCCGGCCGCCCCCCCGGCCCCCCGGCTCCCGCCTGCCGCGGGGACAGCGTCGGGGACAGGCGCCCGCGGCGGCACGAGCGCCCGGCGCCGCGCACGGGTTAARCGGGACAGGATGCCGGGCACGCTGGAGCGGCCTCCATGGCACCGCCGGCCTGCTAGGAATACTAATTCCCCAAGCTGGGGATGCTCCTTGCCGGCGCTGGGAATGCTCCTTGCCGGCGGAACGCGCCGGGCAGCGGGAGCACCCCCTGTGCCGCTCCGTCCTGCGGTGCCGTGCTTGCCACCCCTCATTAAAGCTGCACCTCCTGCACGCTCCATTAATTAATTAATTGATTGATTGGAGCCGTCRCTTCCTAACGAGCTGCCAGGGCGCAGCCGGTGGTGCGCGGATCCCCCCTGCCCACCGCGGTGCTGGGGGCAAAGCCCGGCTGTGGCACCAGGTGGCTGGCGGTGCAGAGGGTCCTGGTGCCACCACGGAGAGCACCCAGGTGCTGCAAACGCCCTGGTCACCGGCAGCCGGGTGCTGCTTTGGGGGACAGCGGGGTGTCTGCCCCGTGCCAGGCAGCCCAGGCCAAGCTGGGCACCATGGGGTGCAGATGGATGCTATGGGGTGCCACCAGATACCATGGGGTGAAGACGGGTACTGCACACGGGCACCATGGGGTGCACATTGATGCAGATGGGTGCCCTGGGGGCCAGCCAGGCACAGTTGGGTGCAAGAGGGCACAACAGAGTGCAACCACATACCACTGGGTACAGATGGGTACCCCGGGGTGCAGAGGAGCATGACGGGGTACAGCTGGGCACTATGGGGTGCAGACAGGTACCATGGGGTGCAGACAGGCACGAGGCTGCAGCTGGGCACCACTGGGTACAAGCAGGCACTGCTGGGTGCAGATGGGCACTATGGGGTGGAGAGGCACTGCAGGGTGCAGAGAGCACCATGGGGTACAGACGGGTGCCCCGGGGGGCAGCCGGGCACAGTYAGGTGCACAAGAGCATGGCAGGGTGCAACTAGATACCACTGGGTACAGGTGGGTACCCCGGGGTGCAGATGAGCATGACAGGCTATATGTGGGCACTATGGGGTGCAGA